TTACTTTATATATATATTTATATATTACTATAGATATATTTAAATATTTTATATTTAATTAAATATTCATAAATATATATTGCATAAATTATAATATAAATATTTTAAAATTCATTAAATTTAAATGTGTCTTGTTTGTATTCACCATCTTTCTTTTTTTTGATTCTAAATCAGCTGTGGGAATATTTCGGCCCCTCGATAATCATTTTTATACGTAGTTCCATGTCAATTCAGGGAAACTTTTATCGTGAAACACTTTTTCGCGAAATTTTATCGCGAATGAATTTTATAGCGAAACTTTTATCGCGAATCCATATTAGCTAATATTTTTTCGCGAAAACAATATAGCGAAACAAATATCGTGAATTTTTTATAGCGAAACTCTTATCGCGCTTTAAAGCGAATACATTAGTGCGAAATTTTTATCGCGAAGATAACATAGCGAAAACTATTTCGCGAAATATAACGCGGCCTATTATTATTTTTTTTATTAAAATAATTTATTTTATTTATATTTAATGTTAATACTTTATAACAAATAAACATATTATATGATATATATTTTTTATTTATATTATTATATTATGAAATAAAAAAAGGATTTCTTTTATTTGATATTTTTTTAATAAAAAATATGATATGCTACTATTGTAATATTATTTTTGATTTTTTGAAGTTCAAAAAGATTTTTAAACATATTTTATTTTGATAAAAATTTTAAATCTTTTTTGAGGAATTCTTTTGTGAATTCTATAATAAATAAACAATCTTTTAGGTGAAATCTTTTATAGTATTTTTTATCATTTTTGTAAAATTATCTATTTTTTTAAAAGAAATGGGTTTTCTAAATAATATTTTTTAAAATTTTTTTTATTTAACTTATTTATGTATATGATCTTTTTAAGGATAATAATTTAATCTGACAATTTTTATATTCGTTATTGAAGATGTTCCTTGGAAAAATGACAATTATCATAATCGGTATTTTTAAACATATTAGATTTTTTTACGGTAAAATATGTATTTTTAACATGTTAAATTAAAATTTTAATTAAGATGCACCATATAAAAGTGACAATTATCATAATTGTTATTTTTAAAGTTTTTTAAATTTTTTTGACGTAAATCGGTTAAAATAAGTATTGTTAACATGTATTAATAAAACTTCAGTGAAGATGTACCCTTGATAAGTGACAATTGTCATAATCCTTATTTTTAAAGTTTTTAGTTTTGATGCAAATGGGTAAAAATATAGATTGTAAACTTGTTAAATTAAAATTTCATGAAGATGTACCACAGAAAAGTGACAATTGTAATAATCGTTATTTTTAAACTTTTTTGACGTATATGGGCCAAATTAAATATCGATAACATGTTTAAATAAAATTTCAGTAAAGATGTATCTAATATAAGTGATAATTGTCATAATCATTTTTAAAGTTTTTTGAATTTTTTTGACGCAAATGGGCAAAAAAATAAATTGCTAACATGTTTAAATAAAACTTCAGTGAAGATGTACCCTAGATAAGTGTCAATTGTCATAGTCGTTATTTTTAAAGTTTTTTAAATTTTTTTTAAGCAAATGGGCAAAAATAGAAAATGCTAACATGTTAAAATAAAATATCAATGAAGATGTACCATAGATAAATGACAATTTTCATAATCGTTGTTTTTAAAGTTTTTTGAAATTTTTTGATACAAAAAGGTAAAAATATAGATTGTAAAAATATCAAATTAAAATTTCATGAAGATGTACCATATAAAAGTGACAATTGCCATAATCGTTATTTTTAAAAGTTTTTAAATTATTTTGAAGCAAATGGGCTAAAATATAAATTGCTAACATGTTTAAATAATATTTCAGTGAAGATGTACCCTAAATAAGTGACAATAGTTATAATCTTTATTTTTAAAGTTTTTGTATTGTTTGACGCAATTGGACAAAAATATAAATTGTTTACATGTTAAAATAAAATTTCAGTCCAAACAAAAAAAAACAAATCGATATTTTCATTCTCATAATCGTTGTTCCTTTTATCCTGCTTAAAATTTGATAAAAATATGCAAAGTGATTATTTAAGATATCTGTAACTTATGTTAAATTCGAAACATTTAAGATATAGATTCACAATCTTATTCCTTTAATTAATAAATTTTAATTCTACATTGTAAAAATGTATAACCTTGCATTCACAGTTAGCAAATATTTTTGTATAGTCGTGGCAAAATAGTGCTGAGGCTGAATTCAGGGTAGGATTTTTATAGAAAGAACTTAAAAAGCATATGAATATTATTTAGTAATATGATACAATTAACATCCTATAAATTTAATGTTAAGATTTTATTATGGTTAAAATGGATTACAATCTATATTTTAACCCATTTACTTAAGAGAACTTTAAAAATAACGATTATAAAAGTGTCACTTTTCAATGGTATATCTTCATGAAATTTTAATTTAGCATGTTTATAATCTATATTTTAACCCATTTGCAACAAAAATATTCAAAAATACCTTATTAACAACGATTATGACAATTGTAACTTATCTATGGTACATCTTCACTGAAATTTTATTTTAACATCTAAGCAATTTATATTTTTGCCCATTTGCGTCTAAAAAATTCAAATAATTTTAAAAATAACTATTATGACAATTGTCACCTTTCTATGGTGCATGCTCATGAAATTTTAATTTAACATGTCTACAATCTATATTTTTACCCATTTGCGTCAAAAAAAGTTTAAAAATAACGATTATGACAATTGTCACTTATATACGGTACATCTTCACTGAAATTTTATTTAAACATGTTTGCAATACTTATTTTAACCCATTTACGTCAGAAAAATTCAAAAAGTTATAAAATAACGATTATGACAATTGTCTATGGTACATCTCCATGAAATTTTAATTTAACATATATCTATATTTTTACCCATTTGCGTCAAAAAAATTTAAAAAAACTTTAAAAATAACGATTATGACAATTGTCACTTATCTAAGGTACATTTTCACTGAAATTTTATTTTAACATGTGAGCAATACTTATTTTAGCCCATTTACGTCAAAAAAATTTAAAAAAGTTATAAAATAACGGTTATGACAATTGTCACTTTTTTATGGTACATCTTCATGAAATTCTAGTTTAACATGTTTACAATCTATATTTTTACCCATTTGCTTTAAAAAAATACAAAAAACTTTAAAAATAACGATTTTGACAATTGTCACTTATCTAGGTTACATCTTCACTGAAGTTTTATTTAAATATGTTATCAATATTTATTTTGGCCCATTTACGTCAAAAAAGTTTAAAAATAATGATTATGATAATTGTCACTTATCTATGGTACATCTTCACTGAAGTTTTATTTAAACATGCTAGCAATATTTATTCTAACCCATTTTGGTCAAAAAAACTTTAAAAATAACGATCATGACAATTGTCACTTTTCAATGGTACATCTTCTAGAAAATTTAATTTAGCATGTTTACAATCTATACTTTTACTCATTTACAACAAAAGAATTCAAAATAAACAACGATTATGACAATTGTAACTTATCTATGGTATATCTACACTGAAATTTTATTTAAACATGTTAGCAATACTTATTTTAGCCCATTTACGTCAAAAAAATTCAAAAAAGTTATAAAATAATGATTATGACAATTGTCACTAATTTTCTTTGGTTCATTTTCATGAAATTTTAATTTAACATGTTAACAATCTATATTTTTACCCATTTACGTTAAAAAAAGTTTAAAAATAATGATTATGATAATTGTCATTTATCTAAGGTACATCTTCACTGGAGTTAAACATACTAGCAATACTTATTTTAACGCATTTTGGTCTAAAAAATTCAAAAAACTTTAAAAATAACGATTATGACAATTGTCACTTTTCAATGGTAGATCTTCATGAAATTTTAATTTAGCATGTTAACAATCTATATTTTTACCCATTTACAACAAAAAATTTCAGAAAACTTTATAAACAACGATTATGACAATTTTAACTTATATCTATGGTATATCTTCACTGAAATTTTATTTTAACATGTAACAACTTATATTTTTGCCCATTTACGTCAAAAATTTGTAAAGAAACTTAAATAATGATTATGACTATTGTCGCTTTTATATGGTACATCCTAGTTGAAATTATAATTTAACATTTTTACAATATAAATGATATTTTTACCCTTTTGAGTCAAAAAATTTCAAAAATCTTAAAAATAACGAATATGACAATTGTCACATTAAAATATTATCCTTAAAAAGATCATAAAATAACATAAATAAGTTAAATATAAATATTTACAAAAAAATTATTTAGCCACCTCTTTTAATATACTTAAGAAATAGATAATTTTACAAAAATGATAAAAAAAACTATAAAAGATTTCACCTAAAAATTGTATATTTATAATAAATTTCACAAAAGAATTCCTCAAAAAATATATATTTACAAAGAAGATTTAAAATTTTTATCAAAATATGTTCAAAAATCTTTTTGAACTTCAAGAAATATTTTTTATTTAAAATCTTGGGCGTGAAAATCACTAATAAATTGTAACAAAAATAATATTACAATAGTAGCATATTTTTTATTAAAAAAACATCAAATAATAAATAATGTGTTGTTTTCTTTTAAATAAATGCATTCGCAATCACTGATTCGCAATATATTTATTGTTTCGCGGTAATGCGCTAGCGATAATGACTTCACGCAAAAATATTCGTGATAAAAAATTTGCTGTAAAGTGTTCGCGTAAAATGTATTCGCTAAAATGTATTCGCTCTAATAAATTTGCGGTTAAGGTTTCGCGGAAATAAATTAGCGGCAAAAGCTTCGCGAAATTGTCTTCGCTATAAATGTTTAGCGGAGATAAATTCGCAGATATGGTTTCGCGATTTTACCTTCTCTATAAAAACTTTTCGCGATAAAAGTTTCACGAAAAAGTGTTTCGCGATAAAAGTTTCGCTGAATTGACCTGATACGTTTATATGTGACTATATGGTGTTTACAATGCAATTAAATTTTAATTAATTAAATTAATATGCAAAATATATATTCCTTATATTTGGTTCAGCAGCCTAATATTCAAATCGTTCATAATGCATTACCAATCAATCATTACTGTTTACCGGTGAATTTTGATAATCATTTACAACAAATTTATATACCTTCAGATTTAATTAATTTTGGAGATTCATTTAATTCCACTTTTCAAAGAATCTTATCTAGTTCAAATTTTAATATAAATATGCCTAATCAAGGTGTTACATTTTTAAATCAAGATTTTATTAATCAATTAATTCCAGTAGCTATACATGATTGTCATTCACCAATTTCTGGTTATCCATTACAGAGTAATAGGATTAGTAATCTTTTAGAATTCAATGTAAATCCATCTAATAAAAGAAATTTTAATAAATATGTAAAACCTCACATTAATACTAAAATGCATATATCTTTGGAAAATGATGATTTGGATTTTGGACCAAATAAAAATGAAAGATATTCTAAGGAAAATTCACTTTTATTAATATCTCAAAATAATGTAAATAACAATTTCTTAACAAACTTAAGCTGCAAAATTTCTCAGGGATATACTTCTGCTTATTTACCAGAAAATAATTTGACTAATTCTAAAAAATCATATGTTAATAAAAATATTTTATATTCCAAATATTTTAATAAAAGAAATAATAATCACTCAAGATCAAATTCATTGTCAAAAATATGTGAATTAATTAATAAACAAACATCAGAGATAGCTAAGAATAAAAGTAAGCCTAAATATTTATATTCTTTGGCAAATGAGTCATTGAATCCATTCAATAGGAAGTCAAAAAAGGATCATGGTAACATCCATAAAATGCGAAACAATATAAGGGATGAATCTGCTAATTCACATTCTTCCATGCAAATGTCAAATAATATAAAAAATATGCAATTCTTAGATCATATGCAAGGTTGGAAACGTATAAAACATGAAGGCAAAATTTTTTATATCAGGTATAAAAAAAGCAAACTATATTGTAATTAATTATAATGGCTAGATCTAAAGCAAATAATATCTAATATTAATAAAATGACCAATATCTATATCAAATTAAATTCCTCTCATATATCCACTTTCTAGATACAGACTCTCTCAGAATTCAAACCCTTAGTTTTTATCTTCCAAATTACAAAAAATGAGAATCAATATCAAAATTATTTTAAGAAACTTTGTAAATAGATTATTCTCTTTCCTTACATGACTTTTTGTGTAATATGCTTGTTTGAAAAGTAATCTCATACAGGGCCTATTCAAAAAGAAATGTGGGTGAATTATGAATTATTTGAATGAATTAAATATTTTACTATATGTATAATAATTTTAACGGATATTCATTTAAGTTTTTACATTTCAATATAAAAACTATTGCAATAAGTTTTACTATCTATTTCTTTAAAAACAAATCTAATAGTTTTCATTTTTGGCTTAGTATTAAGTTGAAATCTTGGTTGATTATAACATAATTTTGAAATAAGCCATCATATTTCTTTCCTCTTATTTTTTGAAAATATATCCAACTACTATTTTTGTGTGATCCATACTCAGCTATGATGTGCATCAAATTTTAAACTCAGCAATATTTCTGAATTATAAATCAATAGTATAAAGTCCTGTAGGACTTGTCTATCAACCGGACCCAATGGTCCAAAAATATTTATATTCTTATTTTTTTGCTCGGTTGAATATTGCAAATTCAAAATTAATTCAAAATTAAGAGAAAAGTTATTTAAAAAATTCTAAGAAATATTCATTTTTATATCATATTTAATAGATAGAATAAAATAAAATAGATTAAACATCATTCATTAAATATATATCATTGAACAATTATATTTAATATATAACATCAAAATAGAGAATAAAATAAATATTTTAAGTTTGAGATTTCTTCCTTATAAATTTTTTTTTTAATTTTGACCATAAGCTGGACCTAGAATTTAAAAAAATATGTCATCAGTCTGTAGGCAGGCTAATGCCAAAAAATATCAAATCAGCAGACCTCTATAGGCACCTGCCTATTAATAAAAATGTCAGATTTCATTATTGATGATCATTTTCCTATGTTTCTTTAAAAGTGAACAGGATCTCATGTTCAATAAAAATGTTTCCATATTATAAACTAATTAATCATAAGGCATTTTAATATAAAATACAGTTGTATAAACGAATCATATCTGGAATGTATCACAAAAACTGGACAGTTGTCTTATATTGGCATATCGATTCTTCAGGCCTGAGTTTTTGGTCTAACACTGGTGGTCAGATTATTCTCCTTGATTTTACTCATAAACTAGAAGAAAAAAAATATGAAAAATTAATTTTTTTTTAAAGAATTATTGCCTTTGAGGAGCCATAAAATCTAAAAAACGAATAGATTCATAATTAACTAACCAATCGAATAAGAATAGTATATTTTGCTATCTTTACGAATAATAATAGTAATTTATTCAATTCGTTCAAAATAATCGAAACAAATAATTTCTTATTTGATTCATATTCGTTTGAATAGGTCTGATTACGAGTAAGGAAAAGACAGGCAAAATCTGATTTCATAAACCGGATCTTGTTCTTTGATACTATAAAAACCGAACCATTGATCTTTTTGCTTCTAAATTTTTATTTTATAAAAATATAATTATATATCCCCTTCCCTTTTTTACATCTAAGCCCGACTAACATAGAACTTAGTTCAATAGACGACGTTGAAAAATATTTACTCACCCCAGGAACGTGTAAATGTGGTCTACAATGCCCCGTGATTATTGATAAAATTTTTGACTTTGTTAATGAATAATATTTTTTTTTTAAAAAGCAATATCAAAATCAATATTTTTTTTAAACAACGCAGTATTATGTTTATATTATAGTTTATCTTATTTATATTATAAATATAATATTAATATATATAAATAAAGTTAAATTTTTTAATTTATATTATTATACAATAACTCCGGTGACAATAAAAAACCTTTTTTTAAATTTATACTTGTTTTTTTAAATTAAATTTGTATTTATTTCTATTATATTCAAAATTTTAATTATTCAAAAACAAATCAGTATAATAACCCGCTTATAGACCATTCTAGAAGAAACAGAAAAATTAACGTGAAACGCTGAAAATTTTTATAATCTCGAAAAACGGTTGTATACACTTATTTATATAGCAATTTGATGAGTTTTTTCAATATATATTTTTTTTAATAAGAAAGAAGAGGAAAAACTTTATAAATTATATTTATAAGAGTTTAATAAATTAAATTATATATTATTTATTTTATTACTAATATTCCAAAAATTTACAAAATAAATTGTTAAACATTTTTTGCGTTGGCTCTCATCTTTTTAAATAAATTTTACTCCTCCAGGGATTCTTGATTTATTTAGGTAAAAGAATTTAAATTTTTTTATTAATAATAATGATTGATAACATAGTGTGACTAATGAGATCGACAAAATATAGAATATTTGGAAGAAGAGAAAAACATATTTGAAAAATAGGATTTTTAATGTGAATTAGAGGCCTGCAATGGGCGGATTTTTAGCCCACAAGCCCTCCCGTTCAATATTTTAAAAAATTTAACCCGTCCATAGTATTTAAAAAATATATATTCGCCCATTAGTCTAAAATTTTTTACCCGTCTGCCCATTATATAAAAAAATTTTTAACCCATGCCGCCCATAAAATTTTAATAAGCTCATTCTTCCAATTTTTTTAAAATCTAATTTAAAAAAATGACTCAGTTTCAGCCCCACACCCCTACAAAAATTTTTTATAATTTATTAATCAAAAAATATATTCAATTTAAACTACGAATAAGGAATTTATTTGATTTAATAAAATAATATAAAAATATAAAATTAATATTTATTGATATTATTTCTAATTATAATGCAAAAATAATAATGAATCCACATTTTCTGGATTTACGCACGCTCCTTTTTGTTCTATAAACCTTCCCGTAATGTTAATTCCTCGTTCAGAAGAAACATTGGTTTCTTGATAGCTTAGATAAATCTTTTTCTTGTCGTTTCTATTAAATCGATTAAAGTTTAAAAAACGATAATGAATTTTATTTGTATTCTTTTGGTATATATACATTTATATAATTATCCAATTTAACTTCTAATAATATGCAATTTGATTAACCTCGATAATATAATATTACATGTCGGAAAGTTATAATATAATATATAAATAACGTCCTTTTAAAATATATAACGTTACCTTTTAAAATATATCTTAACCTTTACAATAATAAATATTCAGATGTAACAGTTTCCACCAAAGTTGGATATCCGTTTGAAGTATATCCTCTACTTAAGTGGATATTTAAGTGAAACCATTAATAAATAAAAAAAAAATTTAAATTAATTGTTTATAAATGGTAATCTTAAACTAAACTTAGTAGCCTAAAATCTTGCTAAATTATACAAAAACTCGCTACTTTAAAATTTAAATATTTTGTTATGTCATTACATAAGGTGCTTTCCTCTATAACAGCTACATCTTCCCATCTGTTGTTTAATTTTGACGTGTATACTATATATTTCAAACATTGCATTTATAATTTATTACCTTCAATTGAATTCTCTTTGCTTTTGGAGAAATGGATAAAATCAGATTTTCACCCAAGTTGATGTTATTCTCTTCCATGCAAATACATATTTTCGATATCAACACATCCTCAGATATCGATTAAAAATGTTGAAATTTCATGGAGCATTTTTTTTAAAATATTTGCATAAATGATTTTAAATAACAAATAAAAGTTGTAAATTTTTTAACCCGCCCGCTCGCCCGTCCATAGTTTAAATATTTTTCTTAATAACAAAATTTAACCCGTAAGCGGGCAGGCTAAAAACCCGCCTAATGAAGACCTTGAAATCCTTTCTAATGTTATAAAGAAACGTCATTCGTTACTTGTTAGGTAACGAGTAACACTAACGCAAAACATTACTCAATTTTATAAATAATTTGAGCCGAGTTTTTAATTCAGATCATCCACCAAAGTTCTTCATTTTTGTTTTATATTTGTTGTTGAATTTTATGTAGTCAAGATTGTTAATGGTATGTTAATCTATATTCTCTAATATTAAATTTATTCTATAAAGAATATATATCAATAGTACTTTAGATAAAGATATTTTAACTCTGCCCTGACCCCAATATGAAACCATTTTTGCACAAATATAGGAAATGAATGGCATTAAGTCTGTAGATTGTGCCCTAATTCAATATTTCAACCTCAATTTCAGCAGTTCAGTCAAATGAATAGATCGATAATCGCCCTTTTTGCGAGGAAATTTTGTCAACATCAAGCATAATTATTTCATCAAAAAGCATTCCCTATCATAATTACACTATCTAACAATTCAATTTTTAAATAGGCTTATGAAATAATAATAATGTAAATAAAGGATTTTTCTCACTTATATTTTAATAATATTTTTATTGTATAGAGAATTTATTTATCAGCCTATGATATATTAGAAATCTGCAAATTTCCGCCTGACCTGTACCCGGACAGAGCCCGAACGAATAAAGTTCTAGGTGGGTTGAGCCTAATAATTTTTTAAGAAATCTGGGCCGGGTCGGGCTTAAATTTTTAAATATGATATTCAATTTTGTGAAATAAATTGATATATTTTTAAATCCATCCTTTCAAGAAACAAGGCGCCATTTTTATTTGTAAAATATTTTGTTTTTACAATGATTAATTTTTTATATTTAAATAAATTCGGACAGAACGGACAAATAATTTTTACTACAGGTCTGGACAAATAAAAAAAAAATTTTGAAGAAAATTTATAAATATTGACAAAATCTTTTAAATAAAATAATAAAAATGTTCAATAAAATTAATTGATTATTTTACTATTATAAAAAGTCATAACAAGTGAAATATTATATTTGCTTAAATATTCTATTATTAATGTCAAGAACTATCTAAATATATATAGATTGATCATTTACCTAGTTCTTATAAATAAATTACTAATTTTTTTTTTAATTTAAATAACAAGTCTCATTTACAGTGATCCAAACCGAAACGAATATCGTTTCAGGTTCGGATAAAAATAACGGTTCAGGTTCGGTTGGTAAAAAATCAAAATATCGGTTCGGTTTGAACTTCTAAAACCCGGTTTGAACGTTTTTGTATTCAAACCTACATTCGACTTATGTATAGGGAAAAAAAAAATTTATTTCATAATTAAAATAAAAAAACCTTTATTTTTATTAATTGCTCATTATAAAATAACATTTAATTTATAAATATAACAAATAAATATCAATGATTAATTTTAATATGAACAATTACATAAAAAATTTTTATTAAGCCGCACAATTAATATATTTTCAAATTCGTCTCACTCAAATTACACCTATAAGGAGATAATATAAATTTAATTGTTGAAAAACATCTTTCCACACTAACTTAGGTAGCCGACACTGCCAATATGATATCAGATTTGATGTGCCATTTATAATATTTTGGATTTAATTTTTCTCTAAGCATTATAATTTAAAGCTTAAAATATTTAAAAAATGTTGTAAAATGACAATATACTAAAGTTTATAAAAATTATGACCGACACTTATCAACAAATGTGATTGATGCTAACCTTTAAAATAATTCGAATATAATTGAAATTATTTCAATATACTAATAATAACTTACATATAATTTTATAAGAATAAAATCATGAGGCTTGAACCGGGCCAGAGGCATTTTAGCGGTTCGGTTCAGGTTCAGCTAGAATTTTTTTAGCGGTTTAGGTTCGGTTCAGGTTTGATAAAAAAAACCAGTTTTTAGCGGTTTAACGGTTCAGGTTCGGTTTGGTACCTGCTCATTTATTATATTAAAAAAATTATGCAAAAAATAATTTAATTCTTTTTTAAGAGAATACATAATAATACGATTTTTAGAAATATTTATGATGGCGGCAAAATGTTTTTTACTGCAATGTGTTATTTTTTCAACTTTAAATCATTTTTCGAGCACATTTTGTAATTAGAAATCGGACTTTACCGTAAATGTATTTCATCATTCTTGGAATACCTACCCTATAAATTTCAGATTATTCTGCACGAACATTTGAAATATAATAATTTACATTAGTTTTTCCATAGATTTATTATATAAATTATAAATAACTCAAAGGTTAATAGCAAAATTTTCTACAATTAAAAAGATAAGTATTCTAAACAAGCTGAAATATATTTCTGGTAAAATCAGATTTTTTAAATTAAAATAACGTTCAAAAAAATTATTTAAAATTGGAAAAAAACACATTGCTGCTTTAAAAACTATATATAAAAGATAGACCTGCAAAGATCATTTGCGCGACCCGGCCTGTATTTTTTTAAAATATATTACATTTCAAAAAGTTTAGGCCAGGCCCGGAAAACATTATAAACGCTCTTTGATGCGGTTTGACTCAACTACAAATGCTTAGGTAAAAATTTTATATTTATACTCTAGTAGTTGAGATGGAATTAATAATAATTCTTATATTTTTTTATTGTGTGAAAAATAAACCTAAAACGAATTGTATGTTATTCGAAATCAGATTTGATTCGTATTATGAATACGAATAGCACAATTATTCGAGCCGAATATGAATAATGAAAAAAAATATTCGTCGAATAGTAAACATTTTATTGTTCGATTTGAATTATTTTTATCATTCTAAATTATTTTTATCATTCTAAATTATTTATAAATATACGTAATTTTTCGTAAATCTTTTATTTTTCGTTAATATTCGTAAATCATAAATAAATAATAAAAAAGAAGTGATTAAATTTT